AAAAGACCCCGAATAGCCAGAAGAATGTTGAAAAAGAAAAGCAAAGCTGGTGGCATCACAATTCTGGACTTGAAGCTCTATTACAAAGCTGCAATCATCAAGACAGTATGGTACTGGCATAAAAACAGACATGTAGATCAATGGAACAGAATAGAAAGCCCAGAAATGGACGCGCAACTCTATGGTCAACTAATCTTCGACAAAGCAGGAAAGAATGTGCAATGGAAAAAAGACAGTCTCTTCAACAAATGGTGTTGGGAAAATTGGACAGTCACATGCCGAAGAATGAAACTGGACCATTTCCTTACACCACACACAAAAATAGACTCAAAATGGATGAAAGACCTCAATGTCAGACAGAAATCCATCAAAATCCTTGAGGAGAACACAGGCAGCATCCTCTTCGACCTCAGCTGCAGCAACTTCTTCCTAGACACATCGCCAAAGGCAAGGGCAAGGGCAAAAATGAACTACTGAGACTTCATCAAGATAAAAAGCTTTTGCACAGCAAAGGAAACAGTCAACAAAACCAAAAGACAACGGACAGAATGGGAGAAGGTATTTGCAAATGACGTATCAGATAAAGGGCTAGTATCCAAAATCTATAAAGAACTGATCAAACTCAACACCCAAAGAACAAATAATCCAATCAAGAAATGGGCAAAAGACAAGAACAGACATTTCTGCAAAGAAGACACCCAAATGGCCAACAGACACATGAAAAACTGTTCAACATCACTCAGCATCAGGGAAATCCAAATCAAAACTTCAATGAGATAACATCTCACACCAGTCAGAATGGCTAAAATTAACAAGTCAGGAAACGACAGATGTTGGCGAGGATGCGGAGAAAGCGGAACCCTCCTACACTGTTGGTGGGAATGCAAGCTGGTGCAGCCACTCTGGAAAACAGTATGGAGGTTTCTCAAAAAGTTGAAAATGGAGCTACCATACGATCCAGCAATTGCCCTACTGGGTATTTATCCCAAAGATACAAACGTAGTGATCCGAAGGGGCATGTGTACCCCAGTGTTTATAGCAGCAATGTTCACAATAGCCAAACTATGGAAAGAGCCTAGATGTCCATCAACAGATGAATGGATAAAGAAGATGTGGTATATATATATATATACACAATGGAATATTATGCAGCCATCAAAAAATATATATATAATCTTGCCATTTGCAACGACGTGGATGGAACTGGAGGGTATTATGCTAAGCGAAATAAGTCGATCAGAGAAAGACAAGTATCCTATGATCTCACTGATATGAGGACTTCTTAATCTCAGGAAACAAACTAAGGGTTGCTGGAGTGGTGGGGGATGGGAGGGACGGGGTGGCTGGGTGATAGACATTGGGGAGGGTATGTGCTACAGTGAGTGCTGTGAATTGTATAAGACTGTTGAATCACAGACCTGTACCTCTGAAACAAATAATACATTATATGTTAAAAAAAAAAGAAGATGGTAGGAAGGGAAAAATGAAGGGGGGGAAATAGGAAGGGGAGACGAACCATGAGAGACTATGGACTCTGAGAAACAAACTGAGGGTTTTAGAGGGGAGGGGGGTGGGGGGTGGATTAGCCTGGTGATGGGTATTAAGGAGGGCACATACTGAATGGAGCACTGGGTGTTATACGCAAACAATGAATCGTGGAACACTACATCAAAAACTAATGATGTAATGAATGGTGACTAACATAACATAATAAAATAAAATTTAAAAAAAATCACACACACACAAAAAAAGAAGATGTGGTTTGTATCTACAATGGAATATTACTCAGCTATAAAAAAGAACGAAATCTTGCCATTTGCAATGACATGGATGGAGCTAGAGTATAATGTTAAGTGAAATACGTCAGTCAGAGAAAGACAAATACCATATGATTTCATTTATATGTGGAGTTTAAGAAACAAAACAAATGAGCAAAGGGAAAAGGGAGGAAGAGAGAGAGAGAAATCAAGAAACAGACTCTCAGCTATAGAGAACACACAGATAGTTCGGAGGGGGGGAGTAGGTGAAATGGGTAATGGGGATTAAGGAGTGCACCTGTCATAATATTCACCAGATGATGTATGGAAGTGTTGAATCACTATATTGCACAACTAAAACTAATACCACACTGTATGTTAACTTAAAAAAAAAAGATGAAGACGAAAAAGAAAAAAGACAAAAAGCCTAGCGAGAATGAATCATGACCTCATCCTCCACTGAGCCCTTTTGATTCCAGGCAAGTTCAAGTTTAACATATATAACATATCCCGAAGTAAGACTTTTGACTTGCTAAGGTTTTTGCCTTGGTAGATAATTTTCTGATTTATAATTAGCCACATGTTTCTATAATCTGAATCAAGAATGCTTTGCACATGGTAGGCCTGCCAAAAAAAATTAAAAAGGTCTGCTTAATTTAATAAGTGAATTCACTAACTTCTCAGGTGGCCAAGAGGCTTCATTATAAAAGACTAATTGTAAGGAATGTTTGGAAATCTGAATTTTAAATAAAGCGCATTTGTCTGAAATCTAAGTATCAAAAATATCAGATGTAAAACAAGTTTGAAAATTATTGAAACCAGGTGACAGAGACATGAGGATTCATTGTACTAATTTCTCTACTTTCACAAATGTTTGGAAGGGTCCATAATCAAAAAGTAAAAAAATTAGGATATAAACAAATATAGAAAAGGTCTCAGAATTCCTTCTGCCTTAAGTGACCATGAGATGAGCTAAGATATAAGGTTAGCATGTCTAAAACCTGCATAAAATCAGAATGAATATAAATGAAGGGGACCAAAAGCAAAACATAAAACAGGATTTTCTTTATTGGGACCAGGCAAAGCCAGCCTTCGTCAAAGCATAAACTGGAAAGTTGGTGCATGAGGTTGAGAAAGGCAGGGCAGCCTGGAACTATGCCTGACAGTCTGTATATCTGTGGGCTGTGGGCAGTACACACTGTGGGGTCCATTCCTCTCTGGTTAATTCTATGCCACTGAGACAGGGAGAGAGGCATAGGAATAAAATCCTCTGCCCAAGGTTCTCCAACCACTGCCAATGCATTTGTCATGACCTGCACCATCACCTTGCAATGTTAGCAGCTCATCCCTGAGGTATACATGACACCAATTAGTTTAATATTAGACTATTCTATTTTTTTAAGATTTTACTTATTTACTTGACAGAGAAAGAGACAGAGAGAGAGAGAGGCGGGCAGAGGGAGAGGGAGAAGCAGACTCCCTGCTAAGCAGGGAGCCCGACTCAGGGCTCGATCCCAGGATCCCGGGATCATGACCTGAGCCGAAGGCAGACACTTAACTGAAGGCCGACACCTAACCGACAGAGCCACCCAGGCACCCCTAGACTATTCTATTTAAAAAAAAAAAAAGATGACAAAGAAGAAGAAGGTGGGGAGAAAAAGAGGAGGAGGAGGAAAGTGATCTCTTTTAAGGACATATGTATAAGCAGAAAACTAACAGCAATTTATAAAATCTTAATAAAACTTTTACAAGGAAGTATAGGAGCGATAGGTTAATGTTGCTTTAACCTAATTATAAGGAAAAAATCACAGCTCTGAGTCCACTTTCCCCCCAAAATCTCAGAGATGTCTGTCTTCTACTTTCGTGACAATAGGAAATACGACTATATGGGGAGAAGGGAGAACATATTACTAAAACTTTCTCTACTTATTCACAATGACAGAACTTTTCCCTACACAGCATGGAAAGAATTTCACTGTGAGATATATGAAATTAAAATTTTTTAAAAAATAAGAGAAATAAGAGAGCAATTCACACGTTACATTGAGCAATAGAAAGTATTTTTAAATATTTCCCATAAATACTAGTAGCACCAGTAATTACCACTTGAGCAATTTCTAAAACAGAAACAACTGTCACGAACAGCCACGGACTTAACACTAGGAATGAAGGTACAGTCAACACAAGGCGTATTTTCATCTTTCAGGAGGTATCACTCTGTAGAGCGCCTAACATCAAAAGCACCTGTGTGTATTGTACACACGATACTCCTAAAGGCTATGATTTTCAGAAGGATGTGAAATAAACACATGAGACACTTCTCATATGTATTATAAGTAAACACTGTATTTTGAAATCAGTTTTAAACTGTAGACAAACCAGAATGTAATGCTAAGGTGATATTACCAGAAAATCATAAAAACATACTCTGAAGTATAAAAATACATTTGAGAAAAACAAGAATAGCAATCACACAAATCACTTTTGAATTCTTAGAAAATGGGTAAATTACAAAACACACTTTAAAAATATTCATGGGATTAATATATTAGTAGATGTGCACTTATGAATTGTCACACCAGTGGCAAAATCACCATCAAATGTAAAATTTTACTTGTTATTAAAATATGGTCAATATTTAAGCAAACCAAAATATGCAATATGGGAAAGCAAGGACAGCAAACACAGAGCAGCAGTGGGGATATTATCTGATCCTTTTTCCTTATCCCAGGGCAGATAGCAAGGATCAGCCAGTGCATGCTTTCTCCCTGGGCCCAAACAAACCATCAGAATCATTTCCAAACAGAGCATGTCAGGTAGCGACTACCAAGAGACCACACACAAAAATATGAAATTAAAAGACCAAAATTCAAAGACCAAAATCCGTCACTGAAACAACATCACAAACCTGAATGCAATGACAACCTTAAAAATCCATTAGTAAGAAACAAGGGAATAGGGTGTTTTCTCTGGAGAAAAGCAAGCATACTCTTGAGAGTATGAGAGAGCACTTTGCGTGCTGACAATGAACATACGCAGGCCAGGAATAAGAGTACTGATAAAACAGAAAAAGTAGTAATACCCTTTTCAATATAAGCAATACATTCTCTCATTCTCTACTCAGTAAGGTAGGGGAATGATTTAAGGCACAAAGGGTCCTAAATTTTCATGGATCAACAACAAAATAAGAAGTAAAGAGTTGATTTACGGCATTAACAAAGATATCAAATACTTAACACTTACTTTTGCGAAAGCTTCAAAAATGTCAAAGGAAGGTGGCAGCTGAGAAGCATCCTGGATTTCTTCTCTCATGAAATGTTGAAATGTCATTACGAGTTGCCTGAGGCCCTCTTTCTTATCTTCAGTCATTTTGTTAATATCTTTTTTAAAGAGAGAATAAATAGCACAATCACACAGTAAATTTTTAATGGACAATTTTCAGGTGTTCAATACTAGCTGTTAAACCAGATTTATCCTCTCTAGATTTCATTCTGACAGAGAGCAAATACGTTCCTTTTTTATTTTTTCACAACTACATATTACAATACATACATTATCAATTAAATTGCACCAAACTTCATCTACAATGTAAAAGCAAATACCTATCCAAACAAAATAAATACATGTACAGATGAAAAACACTACAACCCAAATCAGGAAAGATGTGTGTTACAGGTCCCCCACATCACCCTGGACATCACAAGTGCATCAAGTCAAGTGAATTTAAGCAGATCTTCCCATGAAACAATTTTCAACCAGGTCATGACCAACTGATAAACAGTATATCTCAAAGGAAAAAACAAAACCAAAAACAAAAGAAAACAAAAAGTAAAAAGCTCAGCTAGAGTCCAACTGGTGAAATGTGTCACATAAAAAGTCCATTGAGAAGAAAACAGGGACCAACCCAAGAAATCTCGACTTCAAGTTATTTCCAGACTGAATAAACAAGATGCGGTGCTGCTAAAACCCAAACAGAAGGAGAAGGTTCCAGAGCGTAGTTGTCAAAAAATCACTCCATTGAAAACTCAATTTAATTTTTACCACAAAAGGTGTTAAGGCTAAGAGTGTACAATTAATAATGTTTGAGAACATTTCACTTAAGACAGCATGGATGACACCACTACTGAATAGGGCTACAATTAATAGTAAGACTCACAGCAAGAGACGTTAATTACTTAGCAGTAATATAACACAAAAAATGACTAATTAGTTCTCTATTAAAACTGAAAAGATGTATCAAGTTGAACTACAGCATAATTCTGGGGCTCATGTCAGCTCTACATATTCTTTTTAAATTACTTGTTCAACAGAATTAACCCAATGATTTCTTAAATAATAATTTATTATCATTGGCACTTAGGATCCCATAACCATAAATCTGTACTAGATCATTTTCGTATTTGTCTCCACCCAGAAATATTAAACTCTGTAGCAAAGTTTACTCTATGAGCTCTGGCTACTTTGGGGTTGAAGTCATGGACAACCTCACTGAAGGGGATCTGTCCCAGTATGAAAGGAACATAAACCCTACATTGACTGAACACTCAGATTGGAGGGCCTGTCAGTATTCCCAAATATCCTGGCCATCACCACAGGAGTAGAAAAGAAGAACAATGCACAATGCTGTCAGACAGCCCAAATCACCTATACCATCTACTTTTCCTCTAATCTAAAGGACCATGGGGCGCCTGGGTGGCTCAGTCGTTAAGTGTCTGCCTTTGCTTAAAGTCATGATCCCAGGGTCCTGGGATCATGCCCCATGTCAGGCTCCCTGCTCAGCGGGAAGCCTGCTTCTTCCTCTGCCACTCCCCCTGCTTGTGTTCCCTCTCTCGCTGTGTCTCTCTCTGTCATATAATAAAATCTTTAAAAAATAAAATAAAAAAATAAAAATAAATAAAGGACCAGTGACCCCAAATGTTCCCTGGAACCCCCTTGTTCACATCACTGTTCCCTGGCATCAAAAAGAAACAAAGATCAGGTTCTAGTACTTTACAAACTCCTAAAAGGCCAAGACTACCCTAGAATAAATTAAATAAGCTAATGTGTCAAGCATATATAAAAACATGAAAAGGTTTGTTAGATTTGCCTCACATAATAAGGAGACAGAAAAACAATGTTAAAAAGAAAGCAATGCACAAGGTCAGCAAATAAATGATAGGATTCTTTTGGTGCTGATAGACAATCACTTACTTGACTCCAGATCATAAAATGAGTAAAGTTTCTCCGATTCAGACGGTGTTTCTTCCATCTATGAGGCAAAGGGGGAAAACACCAAAAACAACTTCAAGTGCTCCAATATATCAATGAATAAATTTGAATCTCTTTAGATATTGAAATGAAACTCTATTTAATGAGACAATGCTGCATATATTCCTCCTCTTCATCACTTTCTGAGAGTTGAATTATTCAATCAGTAACAATTTTAAAATAAAATCTGTTATGACTTACCCCATCAATTTGATTTCCAATTGGAAAATTCTTTTATAAGAAGTTCTCACACTTTTATTTCTTTTCCCCAGCTCTACCCACAGACTTGTATCACTGTAAGGATTTTACTACTAATCATTATAGAAAAGCAAAGATGGATGAATAAAAATAAGAGTTTACCACAAACTGCAACCTTCACCAAATTACCTTACCTTAAGTCAAAAGTCATCAATGTCCTTATCTAAAACATAGGAGAATCATAGATTCCCTGGGTTCCTGTGGGGATGAAATGAGGTCTATCCTGTAAAGCAATTAGCACGGGGCCTAGAAATCCTAAGTGCTCAATAGACCGTATCTATTATTATTATTATTATTATTATTATTATTATTATTATTATTATTGCCTAGAAATCCTAAGTGCTCAATAGACCGTATCTATTATTATTATTATTATTATCAGTGCTTTCTATTAGATTCTGATCCAGTAGGTCCTGGTTCTCTATCATTCTGATATTAATAAAGTAAAAAAAAAAGTTCAGCTTCAAATATAATGATCATACTTTTAATATCTAGCAACTAAAGAAATGCATAACAAAGTTGATCTGAATTTATTAATGCTTTGAAATAAATTTGTATTTTTTAGTTCCACACAATATATATATTTGCAAATTAGTAGCTAAATATATGATAGGTGTTATATACTCAGTCCAAAGACAATTCCCATTTGGTATTCCACATCCAGATTTTTTAGAAGTGAGATAAATTGATATATAACACTGTGTTAGTTTTAGGTGTAAAAACATACTTTTACATGATTAAAACTCTCTATAAAATTTTATAGCCTTCCCCTACCCCAAAAAAGTCAATAAACAACAGGACAGAACAGAGCTGGAGCCTGAAATAATTTGAGAAAGAGACATTCACATGAAAGCTTTTGGTAAAAGGGAGTCTGGAGGGTATCGCCACAGAACCCAGTGTTGGTTTAGGCAGAGTAGGGGAAAGACTGAAAAAGCAATCTCAGTGAAACCTGTCTATAAAAAAAAAAAACAAAAAAAACCACTCATCCATGTAAGAGTAATTATCATCATCATGTGATTAATAGGGAAATGACAAGTTTTTGTCTTAAGATACTCCTTGGTATAATCTACCTTCTACCTTCACATGGGTTTAAAGTAGGCCTTAAATAATAATAATGAGGCACCTGGGTGGCTCAGTCGGTTAAGCGTCCTACTCTAGCCTTCCGCTCAGGTGGTGATCTCAGGGTCATGAGACTGAGTCCTGCCTCCGGCTCTGCACTTAGCAGGGAGTCTGCTTAAGATTCTCTCTCCCTCTGACCCTCCCCCCACTCACACCCTTTCTGTCTCTAAATAAATAAATAAAATCTTTTAAAAAAATATATGAATAATACATACAACTGCAAGTGCTTTGGTTAATTAAAACCCAAGCATGGGGCGCCTGGGTGGCTCAGTTGTTAAGCGTCTGCCTTCGGCTCAGGTCATGATCCCAGGGTCCTGGGATCGAGCCCCGCATCCGGCTCCCTGCTCCACGGGAAGCCTGTTTCTCCCACTCCCTCTCCCCCTGCTTGTGATCCTGCTCTCACTGTGTCTCTCTCTGTCAAATAAATAAAATCTTAAAAAAAAAAAAAAAAAAACCCAAGCATATTTCATGAGTTTTATACTCACAAGTTTGAAAACAACTCTGCCAAGCAGTCGAACAGAATCCGGGGGATACCTGGGTTTGCAGCTTTTAAGGCATTTGCATTCCCACTTGTGGTCTGGCCAACCTTTTTTCTGTTAAGACAAGAGTGGGGAGGGCATATGTTGTAACTTTCATTTACACTGGTTTTGACGTGGAGAGTCATCAACATTAATTTAATGTCAACAGCCTAAATATAACTGCAAAATAGAAAACGAAAGCAATATTCTAATACTATTAATGATGCAGAATCTAGTCTTTTCTAAGCATGTAATTACCAGGCGTGGACATCAACAATTCTCCTCCACCTCTGCCCTTTAATTTACCCCGTGGTTATTACCTGGCTGGTGGAGTCCAAGGAAGAATCATTATGGCTTACTTAATAATTTATAAGATAGTCTTTTATCTTTTAGCTGATTAAATAGGATTCAATAAGAGGCAGTAATTTTGAATACAAAAAGAAAATATCACACCAAATTAGAAAATAAACACATGGTTCAAGAAGATCAAAACAGGGCAGATAGCCTTCTGAATTTCTGTGCTGCTTTAGAGAGTATAGAAGTATCAGGGGCTAATATAACAATAAATATGAAACCTTTTGTTTTTGAAGACCATACAGCAAGGGGTTATTAACTAAAATGACCAAATGTCATTTGCCCAGGACCGCTGTGGTTTATTTATGTTGTCCTGGCCTAATCATTAATAGTACCCCTTTTCATTCTGAAAAGTGTGCTGTGGATGATAAATTATTCGGTCACTTAACCCACAATCCTACCTATGTGCTGGTGTGGCTGAAAAGACCAACAAGCCAGTCACCAATCCCGCATCGCTGAGAAGAGCCAACAGTGGGGAGGAGGACACTGTCTCCCTGAATCTTGGAGTCAGAAATGTCATGGCTCCTTCACAGGGAATGACCTCTATAGAGAAATACAATGCAGAGTATCTAAGACTTAACCCTGGTGAGTGGGAAAAGACTCGACTAAATGTCTGATAGGTTCTATTCCAACTGAGAGCTGGAAGTTCCATCACTGAAATGCCTGACACTCACACACATTCTTGCTTCAGAAACTGTAAATATGCCTCCCAACTTCTGGCCCTATAAAATCCCTCCAGGAGGAACTCTCTCTTTTCTACCTATAGCACAAACACGCAGTGCAACCAGAAATACAAATCTGGGGACACCTGGGTGGCTCAGTCGGTTAAGTGTGTGACCTTGGCTGGGGTCGTGATCTCAGGGTCCTGGGATGGAGTGCCACATCGGGCTCCAAGCCCAGCGGGGAGTCACCTTGTCCCTCTGCCCTCCCCCTACTCGTGCGCTTGCGCACGCTCTCTCTCTCTCAAATAAATACATTTTTTTAAAAAGTCAAAAATGATGCAGCTACTTTGAAACTGTGAGTTTCAAGCCAGCATTTTGCTCAGAAAGACTGCCAGTGTTGAGTTCCTGGGTGAAGGTGTGGCTTGTCTGCTATTTCCTACAAACCCAAATCTTGAAGGCAAGGTTTGCAAGGGGTACAATACTTCTTTCATCAACTGAACCCATGACTGCCTCACTTCATTTCTTCTTATCCACTACAGCAATGCTCTTAATGTGATGTTTGTGATCTTTTTGCTTTTTTAGTATTTATACTTCACTCACTTCTAAACAAGACTGAGTTGCTTCCAAATGAAGATGTATATGAAGTAAGGTTGTAAAATTAGAAATGGAAAAATGTTGAAGTTACAAAAAAAATAGTCCTCAACCATTTACTTAGCTTTCTGCAGTATGTCAGACACACGGCTAAGCAAATAAAAAAGGATATTTCATTTGATTTTTCACAATAATACAAATGGTAGATATTATCCTTACATTAAAGATGACTAAAGTAAAGCTGGGTGGGATCTTACCACCAAGCTACATAAACACAAAAGAGAGTAAAAATTCTTAGTATCCTACTCATGAGAGCTTGATAATCACCATACGTTTATTTGATTTGCTTTTTGGCAAGGCAAAAAATAAAGCATAATGGCTTATATAATTCTCATCTGACAGAAAAGAAAAACACAAGCTTTACCAAGTATTAAATCACAAGAGGAATTTATTCCAAGAATGCCAATCAACGTACTGGACAATTATAATGGCCATCATATAGCTACTTTCAATGTCAGTACTCACTAAACTGCATAATATTAAACTGTAAGTCAGTAAAAGAAAATGTTTCTATTATTTAGGGGGCTAGTCTTAGACCACCAATTAGCAATTTATCAACATGGGTGAGATCTCTTAAAAAATTATGTTCCATTGTCAATTAAGTTTGAAAACCGCTACATAATACACACCCTGCTTAGAGAATGGAAGTAATTTAGTTTGCTAAAAAGCTCTGCATGAAAGAAACTTGTATAACTTAGTTAACACAGAGTTTCCTGTGATTGTTACGGCCATCCTTTGGGAAATTAGGTTGGTATATATGGACTCAGATATAGCTATTTACTTTCTTTCCTTCACCTGATCTTTCAGCGAGAGTGGGTTTAACAGACAAATTCATGATCATTCACACTGATAGAAAACTAGAGTGCTAATATTTTTTATTTCTGACTGACGGGTGAACCACAACTTTGGTGGAAGAGTTTTCATTTAGTATTAATAGTTGAGAAGGCTGATAGATGCCCTCATTGGACTGGCTGTGTAGGCAGGAATGAACCACAGTACGAATGGGTCTCTGAGAAAGCCCTCTGGCCCTGTTCAAAGCCTGAGCAAGTGTACAGATGACAAAGGATGGCACCTAGCAAAAGAAGGTTGAGACCATTTGGACCAAAAAAAATCTAAAAAGAAGATTTTATTCAACACTTGTAAGTACAAGAGATCATCCACAACTCCTTTGTTATGTTCTGAGCATCTCAGTCTCCTGCTAGCTTACCACAGTGAAGTAACTACAAAATGTACCCCTAGGTAACGAACCTGTTGATCGGTTAGATAACATTATTTAGAATTAAACATCCAAATTTTGGAGAATTCCTGTCAAAACAACTTTAGGTCTTCAGCATAATTAATATTGCACTCCTATTTCTCAGAAATTAGACTAATTAGAAACTAGACAGTATGCTTCTTAAAGCTATTCCTAAATCAATGCATGAAAACACCAGAGAACATACTTATCTTCCCATTTGTTTCAGGAAAAAGATACTCATTCTTTTCATCTAAAAACCAAATTAGATCTATATAAATATAGAAAGTAATCATACCACTTAAAACTGGTCTATAGCATAGTGCCAATGTACAGCCTACTTCATATCTCTCCATGATATTAAAAACCATGTTTTTGGGGCGCCTATGTGGCTCAGTTGGTTAAGCGACTGCCTTCGACTCAGGTCATGATCCTGGAGTCCCGGGATCGAGTCCCACATCGGGCTCCCTGCTCGGCGGGAAGCCTGCTTCTCCCTCTCCCACTCCCCCTGCTTGTGTTCCCTCTCTTGCTCTCTCTCTGTCAAATAAATAAATAAAAATCTTTAAAAAAAAAAAAACAAACATGTTTTTAAAACAGTAATTATTAGGATTTACTGCTCAGCATCACCATCGCATCTTACCATACGGCTCCCTAACAGAAGCATACCACAGAAAAGGCTTACAAAGCAATCTCTTTAATAACCCCATTTGACACTGAAGCAAAACCTCACAATCTCACAAGAGCATTATCTAAATTGTACAAACTTTAACCTTGGTCTAGACATCAACAGCACATAATATATCTGCCAGTTTTTCAAAGACAACCTCCTTGATTTACTTTTTCCTATTTTCTTCCCTCACTGCAATGTGGGATGTAATTAAGATTTTTTTCACAATATTGGCTGCAATGCTTCCTGTTCTGAAAGCTGAACATTATCAATGATGTACAATAAGCACAAATTAGCATGAAAGACAAATGAAATTAAAATATTGCATTAAGATACAAAGACAATGGGAAAAAGAATTTTGGATGGAAAAAGGAAATGAAGACATCTACAATGATTCCCCATGTCAGTACATACAGGACTCAGAAACCACTCTGGAAATCTCTATATTTTCATGTTCTATAGTACTTATAGTGACTCAGAACAAAAACTAATTAAGTAAACCAGTAGCTCCCAGTGGGGGTAACCCTAATCTTGAGGGTTGTTTGGAAAATGTATGGGAGCATCCTTATTTGTTAGGATGCCTGGGGAGAGACATGGGCACTGAGTGGCCAGGAACCAGAGATGCTGGACATCCCACGTGGGATAGCTCCATACAATGAAGAATCAATTCTTCCAGGCGCCTAAGTGGCTCAGTCAGTTAAGTTTCCAGCTCTTCATTTCAGCTCAGGTCATGATCTCAGGATCGTGGGATCGAGCCCCACATCAGGGTCCACACTCAGTAGGGAATCTGCTTAAGGATTCTCTCTTCCCCTCCCTCTGCCCCTCCCATGGTTTGCATACTCTCTCTTTCTAAAAAGTAATAAATAAATAAATCTTAAAAAAAAAGAATCAATCATTCCAAATCCAAGATGACTTTTAAATATCCAATCATTTGAGCCTGGTTTGGGTAAAACACATGACCTGGGCTCAGCAGATATTTTTTCTGTAAGAAGACCAGATTCAATGATCTTGGAAGGCAGCCTCCCAATTATAAAATCGATGACTCTGTAATATCCATAGGAACAGATATCTGAATTATGTCAAAATAGGTCCGAAACTTGCCCACATTAGGCTTACATAGCTGAAAATTTGGAACAGTATTTTTTTCAAATTTTGGATCATTAAGGATGAAGAAACTGGCTTAAAATATACAAACAGAAAATAAATTCTTTTAAGTCATTTATTCAACAATTTTATCACTAATACCACTAACTGAACATCTTCTGTCTGAAAGACTGTTATGATCTTTTTACCACATAGTCATGATCCATTCCACTCACAAACAATATTGACAGAGATTTCCTATGAGCATAACTTGGGATAGTTGAGTTGCCATGAAACTTGCAGGAAAGAAAAGAGACCCAACAGCTATCCAGTCCCTCACAAACCATTTAATAGCAAATAAACAGTATCTCCCTCTTCATGCTTCAAAAGCAGTCCAGTATTGAATTTCAGGTTGGCAGATACA